TATTCTATTCTATTCTATTCTATTCTATTCTATTCTATTCTATTCTATTCTAACCTTGTGAACCTAGCCTAAAGCTAGAACACGCATTAAAAACTTAATAACATACTTAAACCTTTCCATATTTGTATATGTATTTACAACAGATTAACAAAATTTTGTTCTAGATGAAAGAATGAGAACTCTTTCTGCTTTAAAAATTAAATCAATAACAGTGTCTCACTATCATCATTAAGACTTCAGTAACAGCTAAACCTCAAAGAGTTTATTTTCAAAGCAAGCATATTTTGGGATATTTAAGTAAATCAAACTATTAGTATAAATGACTTTAGGGTTTGTTTCTGACTCCAAATTAGCTTAAATTGACAGAATTACCCTGAATATTTTCTACTAATATCAGTAGGAATATTAAAAATACTAACTTACTTTTCCAATTTGACAGGACTGGACAGACAGGAAAAGGAGGCATGTAACTATTTTGCCTAAAGCAGATATTTCAATCATACAAAACTAAAACCAAAGAAACAATATCAATACATACTGATCTATGCTTTAGAACCTATGGTTACCTATATCTTACACTCAGCATAATCAATTAATAGGTATGAGTTTATGGAGACACAACCTACAATCCATTTATGTGAAGAATATAACATTTAGTCTAAAAATTGCTAAATAAAAATAGCAGCTATTAATGTAATGCTAAATCAGATATTAGCAATTAATACATACTCAAAATATGTGCCAAAATACAACTGTGAAGCTAAGGTGCTAAATACTTAGTAATACATAAAATTTAAATATAGCATGAATCCTTTCATTATGAGCTGTAATGAAAACCAAAAGATTACTTATTTACTAATTTTAAACTATATAATTCTTTAGTTTACAAAAAATAGCTATAGTATAAATAATACAACTATAGAATGCAACAGAAAACTCATAAATAGCTTAATACCAGAGCAATATATAAATAAGTCTTCTGCACTATCTTAATCAAAAGTATAAAGTTCTCCAGAAGAACTCAATTTTAATCTGTTTCTGTAAGGTCAACAGAATCAGGTCAAATGTAACTTCCAATGAAACACTGTTCAATAGCACATGGATTATAATAAATGAATATCTCCTACAAGCCTTGCCTCCTCTAAATTCAGTAGTGAGAAAAACTATCAGCATTTTTCCAATGTGTTGTATCATATATGTTGACTCTGACTGGAGGAAGCAATCCTGAAGGCATCTCACTGCTAAGCCATATAAGGCTTCATTGGTTTTAATTGCTAATGCAGGACTCCAACTGCAGGCTTCATATTTGAATTGTTTACTATTTTCAAACCTTCTAAAAGCAGTTAAGATGCTGCAAATTAATGAGTGAGCTTTAACAGCAGTTCCATATATAGGTCACTGCAATAGTCCCAACAGGTGGTGGTGAGAATGTGAGATATTGCAAAGCCCTCACATTCCAGGTATCACTACAATTGGTGTACCAGTCAGGGTTGGTAAAACAGTTCCTTGTACATGGCATCCACTTGCCTATGCAGCAGTAGCTGTGACCCATGAGTTATAGAATTACTCCTTCAGAGACTGTTCTGCCCTTCAAGATAAGCAGTGGAGATGGCAGAAACCCTAAATAATGATTATCTATATCTTGCTGGGTTTAGTATCAGCTTGTTCCTTTCCATCTAGACCAGTGGTTCCCAAAGTGGGCAGTACTGCGCCCTGGGGGCGGTGGGACACCTTAGGGGGGTACTGAGAGGCAAGGGGGCTGGCAGGGAGGCGCTAAGAGGTGGGGGGGGCGCTGGAGGTGAGTGGCAGGGCACAATTCAGGGGTGAGAAAAAAAATCCCGCCGCCACGTTCGAGGCAAGGCCCCGCAGGATCATCCCAATGACCTGCACATTCTGGTGCAAGGAGCTCCGCCCGGAACTCAGCGTTGGGAAAGGAGAGCAAAGCCAGAGTGGCTTTGCTCTCCTTTTCAAACATCCCACTGCCGCCACTTTCCACCCCATTGAGCTCCTTGCACCAGAGGCACCTGCCCAAGCAAGTCCGAACGGAGCGATGCACAAAGTCAATGGGGTGAGCCTGAGAGAGGGAAAGAGAGAGAAGAGAAAGAAAGAAAGAAAGAGAGAAGGAATTAGAGAAAGAGAAAAGGGAAAGAAAGAAAAAGGGACAAAGAAAGAGGGGGGATGGAAGGGACAGAAAGAAAAAGAAATAAATAAGGAGGGAGGGAGAAAGATAATGAGATATCTATTCTAGTCCAATCACCTGCTCCAGCAGGGTTAGGAGTGTGTGTGTGTGTGTGTGTGTTCTCCTTGTAACTTACCAATATATTTTGGTTTTGCCTTCTTCAGAATTGACACTGTAATACATTCGGGAAAAGTAATTTTTAGGGTGGAGATCTGGTCCAATGGATCCTGTTTAAAGCCTCAACAAAATGTGAGAGCTTCCTGATAGTCTTGACCATGTTTTGTCCACAAAACCTTTAATTAATAGAAGTCAAAGATGTTTCAATGTGCAGGCAAAGATGCTTGCAAAGATGTTTCAGTGTGGAAAAGGATCTCTAAACTAGGCCTCATTTCAATCTGATGCATCAGGTCTCTCTCTCTCTCTCTCCCTCTCTCCCCTCCATCCTCCCCTTTCTTTGTACCTTTTTCTTTCTTTCCCTTTTCTCTTTCTTTTCTTCCTTCTTTCTCTTTTCTCTCTTTCTCTTTCCCTCTCCCAGGTTCACCCCATTGATTTGGTGCACTGCCCCGCTCGGACTTGCTTGGGCAGGTCCCTCCAGTGCAGCAGGCTCAATGGGGTGGACCTGCAGGGCCGGCACCTAGAACGTGGCAGTGCCGGCACGTTTGAAAAGTAGAGCAAAGCCAGAGGTCGGTAATTTTTGCTGCAAAGAATCACAAAAGCTTCTGGGTTGTACACAAGAAGGGACACACATGTCAATGCAATTCAGCAACATAAAATAAAGAAATACAAATAAAACAAATCAACAAGAATCAGCAAAGCATCTCTGACTAAATTTTATTCACTACTAGAATCTAATCAGAGATGCTTTGCCAATTCTAGTCCAATGACCTGCTCCAGCAGGATTAGAAGGGAGTGTGTGTGTATGTGTGTGCACGGCTGTCAAAACTCCAAAAAGGTCAAGTAGTTCTGGGGAGGCCAGTCATAAATTAGAACATTTGCTAAGCAACCGGCCATTAAGTGAGAACCACTTGTATTTGGTTTGCCAGTCACCAAACCACACTCACCCAGTCATATGACCAGCAAGCCACACCCACCCAATCAAGTTACCAGAAAACCACACCCTCAAATTAGGCCACACCCACAGAAATTTGAATCCCACCCCTGGGTGGGGGGCATTGAGGTTGAGTTTGTAGCACCAAGGGGGCGGTGGACTGAAAAAGTTTGGGAACCACTGATCTAGACCCTAATAACTTCCAAATACCTGGACAAGGCTTTATCTGCATTGCCAGTATGGCCCAGGATGGTGATATATAATTGAGTATCACTAGCCTATTAATATACCACAACATGAACTGACATATGACCTTCTCAATATCTTCAAAGAAATGTTAAAAAGTCATGGGTAGAGGACCAAACCTATAACAGTCCATATAAGACGCTACTGGATTACTTCTTTGACAACTTCTGGCTAAAACTACCCACTGCTGAAGAACAGTATCCCCCTCCAGCAATAAATAAATAATTCTGGACAAGATAGGTAATGGCTACCAAGAGGTCAATTGGGCCAGAAGTTGCATACTATTCCATCAATGTTTTGACAAAAATCATGGACAGGGATGAAATATGGTTCTATTACATGTCCAGGACTGACTGAGAAGAGTGCAGATAATCCATTCTAGGAAAGTTTGCTTCATAGAATTCCAGTTTTCTCACAGTAGTTCAACAATCTTCTCAAAAAAAGGGATGCTTAGAAATAAAGAGTTAGTTGTCCAATACAGTTAAATCCAGAGAGGGCTTTTAAGGAAAAGGTGCACTATTCCTTGATTGAAATCCAAAGTAGGTTGTATTACTCAATTTTAATTTGAAGTTCAGAAATATTCAGAATGCATTCAAGTAATTTTAGCAAAAAGAAATATTTACATACATACATACATACATACATACATACATACATACATGTATGTATATATAGATGAAGATTGAGAAAGGTGAAGGTAAGGAATGTGAGGATCTCCCCAAACATGAGAGACCAACATGTGCAATACTTTTGAAACCTGTACAAGAGTGTAATACAATCACAGTACCAGATTAATGAATGCCTTACATTTTGAACATTTTAAAATAATGTTGCAAACTTGTAATTGTGGCTGCAATAAATAAGCATGGCAAGTTTCCTCAAAAATCTTCATAAATAGTTTACTACCGCGGCAGGGAAAACTAAGATTTTAATATAAAATTAGTATCAATATACTTACTTATCAAAGCTATCACTGTATTTTATGAAGCTCTCCAGTTTTTCCTTAGCATATTCCACCACATCCATATGAAGTTCTATTCCATGATTTATTCCAAAAGGGCCTGTAAATTAATATTCAGCAATTATGTGAGATTACCGAATCAATGTATTTTTATAAAACTGTACATTGATGCGAAAGATAAACTATATAGCACTAGGTAGATATTGGAAATGTATGTATTGATTACAAAAGAGAAAATTATCCAATAAAGCCTCAAACCATATACCTTCAATACTCATTCAGGAGTAAATAAAAGACTCCAGAGCATAGCAACTATTCTTTAGAAGAAGAAAAAGGAATAACTGCAGATAACTTAGTGCACTGCAGAAAGTTGTTTATTGTCAATTGCAGATCTTTGGACGGTTTCACAAAACTTTGCTTCACCTTGCTTTGCAATCAAAACTATTATGTGGTTATGATGGCAATCTCATTTATGATAGTGGTAGTGCAGTTTTTTATTCCAACTGCCTGCTTCTGTTTATAAAAACCAGGAAAAATCCAGAATAATGCTTAGTATTATTAGCTGCTTTTTCACTAAAACATGGCAAGAAGGTACAGTTCAAAATTCCTGCTTTATTTATCAGGGAACGTGTATTGAATTATGTTATTTTCCTCACTTTATCTTCTACTTTCAAAATAATGAAATAAAGATATAATATTTAAATTTAAGTCTCAACTTAAATGTCACGATTATTGTATTTTTTAAAACAATTGAAGAATTTCGATTTTGTAGAAGTGGGCAATACTGACATAAAAATTAAGCTATAAACATTTCCTCATCTCTGCAAAGCCACAAATCTCTTGGTAATTTAAGAAATTTTGATCTATTACGTATCAGGAACACTAATTTGAAAAGCTACTTATTAATATCTTGCAAGTTTGGCAGGGGCATAAACACGCTACTTTAAAACCAAGAATATCAGTAAACTCAACCTATATAAAAGAATGTTCAATAATTTTTAAAATATTACCTAGTATTAATCCCACCATTGTACTTAAATATCCGGTTCCACTACCCAGATTAAGAAAAGACAATCCAGGCTGAAGCTTTAATGCTTCCATGACTTCAGAATAAATGCATGGTGCCGATAAATGTATATTTCCATGCTTCCAAGCCAAGTCTTTATATGCATTGTCTCTATAGCCTTCCAGATAGTAATCACCACGGTCAATAGCTCTGAAGGCTTGTTCTACTCGCTCAGTGCGAATATATTGTGCTTCTTTCAAGTTATCAATTAAATCATCATTATCTTCGCCTGCACTCACAGCTCCTCCCATGATGATTGTCTTTTAACAATTCAGTTAATTTTGAGAATACATTGGTAGGTACTTGTCTGATGTTTCCATATAGAAGGTCCAATCCAGTCTGGCTCAATACTGCTTTGCAAGAGAATCCTAAAAGATTTTTAAGAAGACATACTTTTATTTTCACAAATTGTAAAAATGTAAACCAAATTCAGTGATAATTTGATAGGAAAAGTAAATAATGTTCTTCGATGTCTAATGTAATAGGCATACAGTTGCTGAATTAAACCAAATATTCAATACACAGTGAAATTCCTCAGAATTTGAAGAAAGCCTTACTAGATGAAAGTAATCCATATCCGCCACACCAAATGGAACTAGGTCAAAATAAAGTTGGTCTGGAAATGTACAGTTGTTCCTCAGTGGAAAACAAGTCTATTAAAAGAAAAGAGCAAATCTGTATGTTAATTGTCCATCCAGAGTAATTCCCATATAGTAATAGCAAGCAAAAATTTCCTTGTAAACTTATATTTTACATTCATTTATTATTTATTTATTACATTTTCCTTGTAAATTTTTACTTATAAGGAAAATATCTTATTCAGCACTTAAACATGGCAGGTTTTATATATTTTTCTAATTGACTATGGAATACATTATTTGACACTCAGTCTCTTTTCTAAATACAACCTTCATGCATAAAGCACTGGAGAAGATAATATTGAAATGGATACTATGGTTTTTAAAATCTATTTGAATTAAGTTTTATAATAATAAACAATTTCAGTTAAATATTGAATTTCTTTCTCAAAACATATTTGTCTCCCTATTTATTATTTTTAAAAAACAGAAGAAAAAGTGGGTGAAGAATTGTGGAGGGACACATGAATCAATAAAGTTGATTATAGTAAAAAATATCCTTTAAAATGAATCTTAGTCTTGTAGTCCAAAGTTAAATGTTGTTACATTTAGTTAAAGATCGATTGAATGGTCTTTCATCCAAAACAATGACACTTGGAAGCCCAATTCAATAATTAACATAAGTTCTTCTCCCTAGGAAATTATCTAGAGGTTATTAAAATAGCTTAGTTTTTGTGGAACAGTTACAGTAAGTTATATAAGAAATAGAACAAATATGGCATCTAAAATGTTTGAGGTTGATTTAACCACATTGGAGATCACAAGAAGTTCAAATATATTTTTATTCACTCAAGCAAATGAGAATCATAGTTGGATCATCAAATGTTTGGAAACAACTGGTGTCAGTAAAAACAGACTATATATAGAAAAAAATAACAAAGCAGTAGAAAACAGAATTGGTGGCTGGAAATGAAAAAAAGGGGCCTGTCAGCATTAGGAAGGGCATCTTCCAGAGTGACAATTATCACTCTTATCTGCAAATATACAATGTCAACACTTTACAACATCTTAGGTTCTATACATCTTGGGAAGAAGTAGATGTGTAGAAGGCCTATATGTTACACTTAGAATTTTCTTTAAAAAAAAGATGGCTATGGAAAAAATATATACCCCATACATAACCAAATTGAGTAAAAAGTATCTCTTCCTTAATAGAAAAAAAAGCTGTTCAAATTGCTACTACTATCCAAGTAATTATGCTTAAAGTATTTCAAGCAAGTAAAACAATTCTTTCTCAGCCTTATTTCCACCCATTACTACTTCACCTTTGGAAGTTAACATATACCTGCAAGTCAGTAACACAATCATAGGTGCACAGATGACATTACAATAAGCAAACATACCTAGACCAATACTTACAATCTGAAACATCTATTAAACTTGAAATTCAGTAATTAAATTTCATCATTTAGTCCAGTGGTTGCCAACGGGTGGGCCATGGCCCACTGGTGGTCTGCAAAAAAATGTTGGTGGTCCGCAAAGAAATGTCACCCCCAGAGCACCCTCCAAAACAATTAATCTAGGCTGCGCAGGAACACAAATCTGCCCCACCCATATGGCCTGCGGGAACCCTCCCCACCCACTCACTCCTTACCTGGCAAACTTGCCTGCTAAATTGCTATTTTTCCTTTTTCCAACCATGAGCTATTTTGCTATGCTGAAGATTTAGATTAGCTAGTAAGCAGGAAATCATTGGATTTCTTGCTTTCTAACTAATCTTTAGATTAATGATTCTGTGAGCAACTCAATCTGCCTGCCTGCTTTGCCTGATTTTGAGTAAACATTGCTCTTTTTTAATAAAAAAATCAATATTTACATACATGGTGTGTTGTGAGTTAATTTTGTGAGTTTGCTTGCTAGCAAATTTTATGGGTTTGCTTGCAAGCAAAGTTTATGTGACAGACTCAGGTAGCCGATCTCACAGATCTCTGAACGATTCTGTGAGCAATTCAATCTGCCTGCCTGCTTTGCCTGATGTGAGGTAGAAGTTGCTTTTTTATGAAAAATTCAATATTTCTATAAATATTTAAAATATTTACATACAAGCCATGCCCAACCAGTCACATGACCAAGCCATATCCACAAATTAGGCCATGCCCATAGAATCTGTTGTTAAGAAATTTGAATCCCACTCCTGCCTCTGTGTATTTGTGTGTATGTGTGTGTGTCAGAGAGGGAGGGAGGGAGAGGGAGGGAGACGGAGGGAGAGAGAGAGAGAGAGAGAGAGGAAGAGAAGTTAGATCAGATCTTTCTCTCTCTCCCACCAACATCAGCAAGCCACCGTCAGTCAAAATTCGTATTAGTGGTCGCCAGGATTTAAAATTATGAGTTTGGTGGTCCCTGTGGTCCAAAAGGTTGGTGACCCCTGATTTAGACCACGGAAAGAGCATCTCATGTAATTCCATCATGACCTCAACAGTTTTCTCCTTTCTTTTAGCCTCAGCTTCAAGCATCTAGACAACATAATTTCCTGATGTCATGGTAAAACTATACAAAGGACACATAAAGACCATGTTATTGTTTTAGAAAGCTTACAGAGCTCCTTGCATAATCACATATTTCCTTTTTCTATCGGGAACACACCATCAGAACTATCATCTACTCTGAGGCTTTAACTACAGCTTAATTTATTCTGATCTGATCAACTGAATGGTATTAAATTATGCACTATTAACTGATAACTTGAAATCTGTCTCATATTTAACCTGCATCTGTATGACTATCCTGTCTTCCCATTCCTTCCCTCTTGCCTCATCCCAATTAAATCCTATATCAATTTAACTGTTCCATGAATCTGAAAAAGTTGCAGCCTACAAAAGTTTAGACCTTTTAATGAAATTTATGATCTGAAAAGTAATTATTAGACTCTTCCTGATTTTCCTCTCTCAACTGTTAACAATATCTTTCCAGTGAGCAACAGAAGACTTTCCTGTAACAAGGGTATGGAAATCTTCTTTCCTCTACCTCTTCGCATTTCCCCACAAGTGCAGAATAGTGTTTTTAGGGTCAAGTATTTTACTCATTGGTTGTATAGGAATTGACCAATCAGTTTTCATCCAAGCCTGACAATGTAGGGTGTAACCGGTCAACGTCTTCTGAACTATGTCTAAGGTGAGACTAGAACTCATAGTCTCCTGGTTTCTAGCCTGGTATCTTAACTGCTAAACTAGCTCTCGTAACATATGAAATTTATGGCCCTCTCAATATTGGCTGAATTGTAACATGCTTTATAATAGATTTCAATAGGATTAGAAATCTATAATAGGCTTAGAATAGGATACCCTGCTGATTTTAAAATACACACTTTTATGGTTTCTAGGTAATCATTTCCCAGTGAGAGTTAGCAGCTGTCAAGAGATGTGATACAGCATTCCTTTTGTCCTAAAAATGCCATGAACTGAGATAAGCCATGGGCTCAAAGATTTATGATTTATTAAGGACTGTATTATAAAGCATCAGGAAATATGACATAATTTATTTATGTGATCCAATTATGTGGCTGTGTAATATTTGCTTATTCCAAATATTATAGGGTTTAGACATACCTGACTCCAAACAATATATTTTAACATAAAAGTTTTTTGTGGCCAGGCTCTTAACACTTTCAGGATCTCAGGTTTGCACACATAGCTAGATCTTAAGAGTCATGTGAAAGGCTAATAGGGTAAGATAGGATATCCATGACATCACTCAGAAGATGTGGGGTGGAGATATATAGCTGGGTATCATCTGCATGTTGATGGTATCTCACCCTAAATCATAGGATTGTCTCACCCAGTGGCTTCAGGTAGATATTAAATAGAAGATAACATCAAGCTCTAAGCAACAATATGAAAAACTGAAGACAAGCAAAGCCATTCTATTATCAAACATATAACAGGAACAGGTCCTGTTAATATGAACAAGAACAGTTCTGTTACAAAATTTTACTTTGTCAAAAGATTACAGTGCTAATATGACATACTCAGAATGTTCTAATGCATTAACTTGTGTTTTTTATGCTGGCTATGCTTGCACAAGAAGCAAACAGAAAAATTAGGAGGGGCAAAGAAAGTTTGCTGAAATAGCGACAATATTCTTCCTGTTAGAAAAAAAATGTTGTGAATATTTAAGACATATCCACTATCATCTCATCACCATATCCAAATTAGGGAATGTCTACTTATGACAAAAGGTATAAAATAATCTGGCCTATTTCAAGGACTATGAAGACCTTCTTTGTCTAAAGAATTACTTATATGCATTTAAAGCATCCCTTGAAATAATGTTCTTATTTAATTTCAGCAATGAATAACATTAAAAATTATAGCTATAAGATTACAAAAGTAAAAAATAAAGGTTTCCCCTGACTCAAGGGGATAGTGCTCATCTCTTAGCTGAGAGAACCAGCATTGTCTGAAAACACTGCCAAGGTCATGTAGCCAAAATGACTATACACCAAGGCACACGAAATGCTATTACCTTACTAAGTGGTACCTGTTTATCTACTCACATTTGCATGCTTTAGAGCTGCTAGTTTGCCAGAACTGGTGCAAGTAACCAAAGTTCACCCTATTGTATGGCACTGGAATCTTGAATCCAGGCTGTCAGCTGTCCAGCTGACAAACTAAGTATCTTTAACCACTGAGCCAACATGCCTTTTTATTGTATGTTAGAAAAAGTATGTTTTGCTATTTCAAAGCTGGAAGAAGCTACTAACGTCCTTTCTCACAAATTTACTTTAAATAGTGTTATCACAGTAAATGGCAGTGTTAGGAATGTAAGTCACCTAATAGTTGGGTTGGAAGATATATAAACCAGGATAGACGTTTTAATACTGTCTCTTTAAGGGAATGCTAAAAGTGTAATTGGGTGTGGTTCCTCAAACGGCCATAAGATGGAGCCAGAAACCTGGGTTGTTTAGTTCTGTTGTTCTGGAGTGTTGCCGTTCCTATTGAGTGTTACTGATCATAGTTCGTCTTGGATTTGATGTAAGTCTGTTACTGAACTGTTTTTGATACCGGACTTTGATATTT